CTGATACTTGTCTGTGCTCGGGCTCGTGTGTCCTGGGAGTCCGCCGGGGTGTGTGTCTGTGGTGCGTGTGCCTGGGGCATCCAGGTAGTAGTTGTGAGTTTTCCCCGAGTATCCCAGCACCTTCGAATGCATCCGAAGAAGTGGGCTGTAGTCTACGAAAGCTTATGCTCTAATAAATTTGTTAGTCTCTAAGGTGCCACAAGTACTCCTGTTCTTCTTTTTGCGGATACAGACTAACACGGCTGCTACTCTGAAACCAGCACCTTCTTATTTCAAATGCGGAATACCTGTAACAAGCTTTTCCAGTCTGTGTTCAGAAAGTCTGAGTCTCTGCCGATGCGGGCTGTGTGCTGAGATACTGCATTGGGGTCTGGGTATCATTTGGCTGCTTTTGTGCTCCACCATCATGAGGTTGACTCCTGCAGCAGTAACAACACTAACTGTACACTTTGAGAGTGGGGTTGCCCCTTTTTGACACGAGCCACTAGTAAAATTTCAGGACCCTGGGGATGCTCCACTTCAAAGCAGAAATTGATGAAGTCTGGTATTCGCTTTGATGCATCTGCATTTATTTACAAGGAATGCATAAAGTCCTGCTTCTCAGCGCACAGCAGGAACTAAGAACAAAAGGAGCACTTTTGTAGCTAATACAGACTCAAGCCCTTTAGCTAACTGCCTCCAAAGCTCTCTTTCTCTTGCTTTTCCCAGGGTCACACTACCCATCAGCTACTGTTTGGCTTTCTTGCTGTCTACTTCTGCCTCTTGCTCTGTTCTTGTCTGTCATTGGTGTCTGGCTGTGTGTTCTCTTTCTCTCACTCAGGCACAACCTCCCTCCCCTCCACCCCCACCTGTTTGAGGTATGGGCCTTTAACCTTCTCTTACTATCTTAAATGAAGGGCACATTCACGTATCAGTTTGAACAAGTTTTTAACTCAGCCTATAACAAGGCTTCACCCAGCTCATAACAGTCTCGAAGATAGCTGGGAGTGCTGGTAGCGTAGGGTCTGAGGAGAGAGTCCAAATAGCCATATAATTCATTTGCAAATTTAACACCATTAATCTGGGCTTGAATAGGGACTGGGAGGGGCTGGCTCATTACAGAAGCAGCTTTTCCTCTCCTGGAATTGACACCTACCTCCTCATCTATTATTGGGAGTGGACTACATCCATCCTGATTGAA